CGCCAAGGCTCAAGGTTGACTCAGCCTTCCATCCTTTCTAAGGTAGGTGAAATGAGGACCCAGATGTGGGGGCAATAAGCTGACTTTGTATAAATATATACAAAAGGATGAAGGCTATTGCTGAGCACATTGTAAGCCGCCCTGAGTCTTTGGAGAAGGGTGGCATATAAATCATTTTTTTTTTTAAAAAAAAGGAGGAACTATAACTCGTAACTCTAATTAGAAGGCCTTGGTGCAGTTTCATATATACATGAAACACAGTTTATTGCATAAAGAAAGTATATCCATAGTTTTAACGTCTTTCCATTTTTTCCCCTTTCTGCATCTGCAGTCTTACCTCTTTCAACATTTTCGTAACATTTATGACTTTGGTTTCATCTTTTATTTTCCCTTGGACATCAATCTTGAGGGCATTTATTTCAGTTTCACTCTTCAGCCGAGTGGAATGATCATTCCTGTAATAATTTAGTATCTTCAAGTCATTTTTGATTCCTGGTGACCGCCTGGACAAGTTCCAGAAACATTTTTAGAAGTGGCTTGCCTTTTTCCTGGGGCTGACAGAGAAGGACTGGTTCAAAATCACCCAACTGGCTTTACGTCTGAGGTGGGACTAAAACTCTTGGTGTCCCAGTTTCTAACTTTCTCCAACTTAGAACAAAGGAGAAACTTCCTAACAGCAAGAACAATTAACCAATGGACTAGCTTGCCTTCAGAAATTGTGGGTGCTCCATCACTGGAGGGTTTTAATTAATTAAATTGAATTAAGTTGTGATTGGACAACCATCTGTCTGAAATGGTAGACAGTTTCCTCCTTGAACAGGGAGTTGGACTAGAAGAGTAGAAGACCTTGGAAGTCTTCTAGGCCAACTTGGTCTCTTAACCTCTACCCCAAAATCTCTAAAATATTCCTTCCAGTATCTGTCACCTTGGTTTCTTCTCAAATCATTTAATCACTTTTGTTTTCATGAACTCTAATTCTTTAGCCCCTTGTTTAGCCCACTTCGCCCACATTTAAAAAATAGAATTTCCCCCCTTTGTATCAAAATTACTTTGGATCTTCTTTGCGTATTGTATTATAGAGGGTATCATATAGAGCACTGCACACCAGAACAACTAGACACAAGAACAGTTTTTTCCCAAACGCCATCACTCTGCTAAACAAATAATCCCCTCAACACTGTCAAACTATTCACTAAGTCTGCACTACTATTAGTCTTCTCATCTTCTCATCGTTCCCATCACCTCCCACTTATGACTGTATGACTGTAACTTTGTTGCTGGTATCCTTACGATTTATATTGATACTGTTTCCTGATTGCTTATTTGTACCCTATGACTATCATTAAGTGTTGTATCTTATGATTCTTGATGTACGTATCTTTTCTTTTATGTACACTGAGAGCATATGCACCAAGACAAATTCTTTGTGTGTCCAATCCCACTTGGCCAATAAAAATTCTATTCTGTTCTGTTCTGTTCTGTTCTGTTCTGTTCTGTTCTGTTCTGTTCTACTCTACTCTACTCTACTCTACTCTACTCTACTCTACTCTACTCTACTCTATTCTATTCTATTCTATTCTATTCTATTCTATTCTATTCTATTCTATAGGGTGTCATTTAATCTTAGTTCTTCCTTGCTCTCTTTGAATATATTCTAAGTGTCCTGCCTTTTCTAAACATGATATTTGGGTCTCGTTCTTATTTTTTGCAGCAATCGTTCTCTTACATGTGTTTGTCTTATCTGCAACCTCTTTCATTTCATTATTCCACCAATTATCCTTTTCGTACTTTTCGTTTTAATGAAAAGAAGGACTAGGGGAGACATGATAACAGTGTTCCAATATCTCAGGAGCTGCCACAAAGAAGAGGGAGTCAAGATGTTCTCCAAAACACCTGAGGGCAGGACAAGAAGCAATGGGTGGAAACTGATCAAGGAGAGAAGCAACTTAGAACTAAGGAGAAATTTTCTGACAATTAGAACAATTAATCAGTGGAACGACTTGCCTCAAGAAGTTGTGAATGCTCCAACACTGGAAGTTTTTAAGAAGAGGTTGGTTGTCTATTTTGAAGTGGTGGAGGGTTTCCTGCCTAAGCAGGGGGTTGGACTAGAAGACCTCCAAGGTCCCTTCCAACTCTGTTATTCTCTTATTCTATTATCAGCGGCAAGATACAGTAGATGTTACAATGATGATGAGTGCACTGTTGGGAAACTTGAAAGAACATGTTACAGATAGAGCATCATGGAGAAAATTCATCTAAATTGTTGTTACTTGCTGAAAATTACTTAATGGCACATAATCTACCATCCTTTCAATATATTGTGAGGTCAAATGATTCTGTAAGCTGTTTTGACAATTCTGTTATTATGGCTCCTAATGTCCAATAATTACGGGGAAAATATTTTCCCAATTTATTTCTTAATCTCTGTATTTCAGTTATTGAGTTCCGAGATCTTTCAAAAGGCACTGACGATCCCAGCTGAGTTGCCTGATCGGCAGAGGCTTATTTTTTCTTTTAAATGCCTCTGACGATCCCAGCTGAGCCGCACGATCATCAGAGGCTTTTTCTTTTACTTTTAAAAGCATTTTTTTGGCTGAAGAGGTTGTAGAAAAAATGCTTTTAAAAGTTAAAAAAAGCCTCTGATGATTCTGCGGCTCAGCTGGGTATGGGGGGGTGGGAGGGCAGGGATTTTTGCTACTGGTTCTCCTAACCACCCGCCTCCATTGCTAACCCTAACCGGGAGCTTTTCATCCCTGGTTGACAATAATGAAAGATAAGGAAGAAACAGAATATTTTTTAACATGGGATTTGTTCTATCAATGGGTAGATAAAAGAGGGAGAAATTATAAGATGAAAGGCTATTGATATATATAAGTAAAAGGTGCAAGAATTGGACTATACATAAGTAAACATTAGTATTATTACTACAGCTGTTGTTAGTATTATTATCACCAGAATTATTATTATTATATTGTATAAGTAAATTGATCCAGAATAAACACTGTTTATTAAGCATTTATGTACTTTAAAGAAAAAAGGTATAAATAAAATTTGAAAAAAATAAATAAATCAGTTTTTAAGGAACCATACTAGATACCAAGTACCAACAGCCAATAAGGATGCGTGTAGATGTCATGTAGAAGATTCTTGAGAGTCCTTTGGATTGCAAGGAGATCGAACTGGTCTGTTAAGGATATTGGTGTTGTGTTACCAACCAGCAGAGTAAATGCACAAGGAAACGTTGCTGAGAGCAATGAATAAGAGTTATGCAAACTACTATAAAATAAAAAAGTTTATTTTATAGTAGAAAAAACAGTCTCATAGTCTTTAAACAAATTCCAAATCTTTGCCAGTAAATCAGTCCAGTAGTTACAGATATCTTCTCACCAAACAAACAGTAGTTGGTTAGAATAACAAACTCACTCTGGTTCACAAACCACGATGGTTGCAGATCCATCAAACAATGATTAGCAGATAGCAACTCCTCTCAATGGTAGCATATCATACTCTGGTAGCATATCACATCAGCTTCATCATCAAACTGAATAGTTACAATACCTTGCTTAAATACTCTCACAACCAGTCATTACCTAATTACAGCATGACTCAGCTTTAAAGTCACATAATACATTTACAGATTAAAGTTACAGTACACTTATAATGCCTGGACAACTTGTTAGGCTCAAACCATATCCTAACATGGTCAATCCTAAAGGAAATCAACCCTGATTGTCCTTTGGAAGAACAGAGACTGGAGCCGAAGCTCAAAGACTCTGGCCTCCAAGTGAGAAGAAAGAACTCATTGGAAAAGACCCTGTTTTTGGGAAAATGGGAGGCAAGAGGAGAAGGGGAAGGCAGAGGATGAGATAGTTAGATAGTGTCCTTGATGCAATGAACATGAATTTGGCCAAACATCAGGAGACAGTGGAGGACAAGGGGTCCTGACATGCTGTGGTCCATGAGATCATGGAGAATTGGGCACAACTTAGTGACTGAACAACAATGAAGTGCTACTCAAAATAATCACTGTTCTTGATGTTGATGACATTGTTGATGTTATTCATGATGGTCATGATGATGATGATGATGATGATGATGATGATGATATTCTCAAGTTTAGGAATTTCTAAAAAGCAACCCAAAAAGTTGAAATGAGCTAATATTGAAGAAAGGCAACAGGCATTGAATCCTTTTGATTTCAGTTTGAAGAACGTCAACTCACAGCTGCGAAATAATTTCTCTGCTTGGCTTGGAGTCATCCGGAATAACATATCCATGCCTGGTTAAAGATCTCCTCCTGTTTTTTTCACAGCAAATGTCAGTTACAAAATCACCTCCAGCCAATGGATGTGGAGCTAATAGCGATGTGTGTAGTCTTTACCGAGAAAGCAAATGCTGAGATTCTCTGGGCAGCTGAATTATTTATGGTCAGCCCAAAGTAACTCTGAAGCTTTTTGAGATCTCTAAAAGCGAGGAAAGAAAATCATCTCCATTTCCACACACCTGTGTGCTTTTAATTATCAGTGTTATGGATTGGGTGATCGGGAGATATTTAAAACTTTGGGCAGAGTTCTTGCGATATGAATATGAGTTCTTCTCACCCTCAGTTGAATGTTATGGCAGACATTTTGACTTTTCTTGACTATTCTCCCACCCTTGGGAAGAGAGGGGTGATGCCTCTGGGATGGAGATACATAGAGCTGCATGAATATAATCCTGGTTGGATTTTATTATGCTTTATAAATATTGAGAGAGATACGCACACAGATATGGTGCTTGATCAATATTGCTATCCAGATAAACACCCACAAAAACACACACACACACCTCTGAATCATTTTCATTTTGTTCCCATTTGCTATTTTCTTTAATCTATGAATCTTATTTGGCAATCCTCCCTAGGTTTACAGGAGAGAAAAATATGTAGGTTTTGCACAACAGGTTTCTAAAATAGAAATTTTCCAGGCTGTGCTGTATTGATGTATTGTTCTTCACTGCAGTTACAGATATGCCTAACATTGTTGTGGTCCGCCAGCAGCATGCGGAGCTGGCAGCGGAGTCGGACAGCGATGAGGCTGAGGAAGAACATGGGCCAGTCCTGGAGGCTGGGGAAGGCCCGGATGAGGGCTCTGCGTCGGAGGCAGAGATGGGGCAGGGCCATTGGGGAGTGATGCGTGGACTTCAGAGCCTCCAGAGGCTGACAGTAGAGAGGCAGAGGAACAGGAGGAGCCTGTTCCTAGTGCACACATGAGAAGAGCTGCCAGAAGACAGGAGCAGATAAAGCAGAGAGGATGACTCGGGAGTAGGGCCAAGAGATGATTGGCCCCTCCCATAAGGCTTAAAAGGCCAGCAACGGCTCTTGGCCTCTTTGCCGGAAAACAACCATTGAGAGATTTGCTTCTTGTTTGGCTGTAGTAATTTCTTCTGTTCCTGAACTGTTGCCAAGAAAAGCCTTTGGCAGTTTGCCTAATTATCCCAAAGTCAGAGATAAACTAAAGACTGGTGTTTTAAGGATGTTGCTTTCATTTCATTTAGAATGCACTGAGAATGAGTTAATTCTCAGCTGTTTTAATAAAATCTGTTTGTTTCTTGGAACGGTTTTGCATTTAATATCAACTACGTGGGCCTGGGTCACAGCAAACATATACAGTGTTTCAGGATAGAGCTTTTCCTCACATGCATTATTTTTCAGGATTTTTTTTTTTTTACGTCTTGTGAAAAATTCTGTTAATTTTCATTTTTTTCTCCCTCTGTTTTCAGTTTCCTTTCAGCCCATGAATCAATGGGATACAGTGATTTATCTGAACACGTATTAGCTGTGTTGCTACTAATATATTTAGTGTATGCATGTATTTAAATTAATCAAAATGTACAGCTACAGATGAATTTAGGTAGATGATGGACAGGTAACTTGTTATGGAAAATATCCATTAAAACAATATTTATTAAATTTATATGCCTCCCATATGCAACTGTGGGTAGTTTACAATCGTTAAAAACATTTAAGACAAAAATCAATACAAAAAACCAGAATAAACAAAAGACAGAACAATGGTGGCAAAGAAAGAACAAAAAAGAAGAAAGGGACGTTGTTGTCCTGGTCAAAAATTTGGACATGGTCTGGGAGTCAGGGTCATCATCAAGGCAACCTGAGAGCTCCGAGGGAGAAGAGGGTATGAATCTGTCAGAGATAGAGGCGGTGGCTGGGCCGTCCGTCAGCACTCAGATGGAGAGTCAACAGCCCCCAGGTATGGAGGTGGCTGATGAGGAAGAGGAGGAACAGCTGGGTCCAGTGCCTGACATGCGGATGCACAGAAGGCAGAGGAGAGGAGAGCAGTGGAAATCTATGGGCCGATCCTTGGGACGGAAGAGCCACCACTGCTAGCAAAGCCCCACTCTAGCTCTGGGGATAAAAGGCAGGGGGCGGAGATGAATAGATGTGGCAGACAACTATTCATCATCCTTCCAGACAGACTTGTTAGCCTGCAGTGAGAGAGAAACTTTTTGCCAGGGCTGCTGGTGCTCCTAATAAAGGAATCATTGATTAATTACAAAGGGTTTGTCATGTTTGGGGAACTGGATCAGAACACATGCAATAGGCTTTCATTCCTAAGGCAGGACTAACTCACTGTTCTGTTCTGTTCTGTTGATTGGCCCAAAGTCACCCAGCCAGCTTTCATGCCTAAGGTGGGACTAGAACTCATGGTCTCCTGCTTTCTAGCCTGGTGCCTTAACCACTATACCTGTGATGGTGAATCTATGGCATGCGTGCCACAGCTGCCACGCGTAGCCCTTTCTGTGGGCATGAGAGCTGTTGCCCAGCTCAACTCCACAATGCATGTGTGCGCACCTCCTGCCAAACAGCTGATTTTTGGGATGTGCGGGGAGCGGGGCGCATGTGGGAGATGCACGCGCATGCACAGAGGTAGCATGTGCATGCACGGGGGAGGGCAAGGGTCACGCATGCATGCGCGGAGGGGCGGGGGAGCACAGGGGTGTGGCACACCCTCTTGCAGCCTGGGCCCAGGAGGCTGCAGGAAGGCCTACTAGGCCCAAAATGGGGCATGGGGGTATGTGGCGTGCCCCCTGGACCATTTTTGACCCCAGGAGGATGCAGGGCGGCCTACTAGGCCCAAAATATGGGACAGAGGGTTGCACGCACATGTGTGGGGGAGTGGAGGAGCGGGGGGGTTCACATACTCATGCGTGGGGGCGTGGGGGAGCATGGAGGGTGTTGTGCACACATGCACAGCGGGAGAGCATTGCATTATGGGTGCCGGCACACGACCGAACTGTCTCTCTCTAAATATCCCTAAAAGATTCTTCTCATGAGCTCTTTAGTAAACTATTAGTTCTACAGCTAAATCAAAGAACCTACCTGATCTGAATAAACAGCAATTTACAGATCTTGTTATGGAAGTAATATTGCTTTTTATGAAAAGAGTTAAATAAGGCAAATTGTGCGCCCAGTTGGTGACATGGGCTACAAATAGAACAAAAGCAAATTGCTAAAAATCAGATAAATAGAGGGTCGAGGGTGTTCTTTATCTAAGAATTCTTTACCATGCAATTCAGCTTTGAGCAGAATAATCAGGAGGGTTTACAATCAAAGGTACATAATGATAAAAAGGCACAGTTATTTATTTATTTATTTTAAAAAAAGCAAAACCCACCATTCATGCATATTTCCATATTTCCAAAAGGGAACTAAAAGGGACCTTCAGCTGGAAGCCAATTAATAATTTCAAGTGTTGTGAAGCAATTAGCAACTCAGATACATGGACAAAAATGTGCAATTATGTGAAAATACTCACTGAAATGCATTATGTTAGGGGTTGCTATTTACTACAGCATGCAATTTTTTGATGCACAGATTTATCTTGAAGCCAATTTGAGCTCACTTCTGAACTGAATTGACTTTTCAAATCGAACAGCTTATTTGCTTTGAATAATTGAATTAAATCGGGCAGATCTTATTTTGATTTAGGCTGACTCATCTGATTTTTATACTGTAGATACCCAGATGCTCAGGGAGGGCGATAGATTCTAAATTGGATAAAAGAAATAATATAAAAAATAAAGTTAAAAAATGCATTGGTATTGTACCCAATTGACTGAAAATCATTTAACAATCCAAATCAATTTAGATTGGATTATGGGCAATGTGTAACCTCTTATTGTTAGGTGATAGAATAAATGAACAAAAATGGATATTCCAATAGAAATATAATGCGGAAGCTGAGCGGGAGCTGAGTTTAGAAAATCATGTAGAAATGGAACAAAAATTCATTTCATATTGGGCTGGCTTGAGTTAAATTTTAAATTGATTTTAAATTGGGTTGTTTTAATTTACGGCCAAAATATTTAATTATTTGAAACTGTTTTTAAATTTTGTATGTTCTGTTTTTTACTTTGGCTGTTCACCGCCCTGAGTCCTATTTGGAGAAGGGCGGTATAGAAATGGAAACAAACAAACAAACAAACAAACAAACAAACAAACAAACAAATAAATATATAAAAAATGAGAATGGTAAACACATCAGTACATTCACTGATCTGGATTTGAAATTCTGTTCAAAGATATTCCTACATCGAAAAGATTCCACACTCAACTTGATATGCCCGAGACTATAATTCCCATCACCCTTTATCTTTAGTTGGGATAGCTGTAAATGAAAACATCTGGAGAGCTTCTGAGTAGGGAAGGGTACATTGTGATTACCCATCCCTGATCTGTTGGACTTGGCAAAGGTGAGCTAAGTCTCTTTTTGGTTTGCCATATTTTGGAACACAGAATGTCCATTCTCTTACATGAAATAAGCATTTTATGTGTTGAAAAAGTTGAGTGGGTCTTCAAAGTGTAGCCATAAGCGTTCTTGAGGACGACAGCATGACATGTTCCTGCTTTCAAGGACAATGATTTGGAAAACAAGATAACTACCTTTATAGATACTTGTAGAAGGAAGCCCAGGTATCTAAAGGTCAACATACTATTTTCTCAGAAATAACTATGATTGCTCCCAATATAACGATCCTTGAGCTCTGAGGCGGCTTTCATATTCAGAATAACAGAGCTGGAAGGGACCTTGGAGGTCTTCCAACCCCCTGCCCAAGCAGGAGACCCTATACCTGTGATGGCGAACCTATGGCACGCGTGCCACAGGTGGCACGCAGAGCCATATTAGTGGGCACGCCAGCTCAGCTCTGGGGCTCATGCATGAGCCAGCCAGCTGATTTTCGGGCCTTCTGGGTCCACCAGAAGTAGGGAAACAGGCTGTTTCCTGCCTCTGGAGGGCCTGGGGGGGGGGAGGCCTGTTTTTCTTTCTTACCTGACTCCAGATCCTCTCTATTTATCTGGGAAGGGTGAAAACAGCCTTTCCCACTCCCTTGGAGGCCCTACGGAGCCTGAAAGGGCCCATTTACCGACTCCCGGTGGGACAGGAAGTCATGTTTTTTGCTGTCCCTAGCCTCCAGAGTCTCCTAGAGAGGCTCCTAGAGACTCCTAGAGAGGTTCTGGAGGCTGGGGACAGCAAAAAATGTCACTTCCTGTCCCACCGGGAGTTGGAAAATGGGCCCTTTCAGCCTCCGTAGGGCCTCCAAGGGAATGGGAAAGGCTGTTTTCACCCTTCCCAGATAAATAGAGAGGATCTGGAGCCAGGTAAGAAAGAAAAATGGGCCTACCAAGGCCATCATGTGCCAGGAGCGGGGGGGGGGGGGTTGTTGCGTGCACATGCGTGTGGGCATGTGCACGTGCGACCCTCCCCTGCCCCTCCCTCCTGGCATGCGATGGCAAACAGGTTAGCCATCACTGCCCTATACCATTTTAGACGAATCGCTGTCCATTCTCTTCTTAAAAGCGTCCAGTGTTCGAGCACACACAACATCTGAAGGCAAACCGTTCCACTGGTTAATTGTTCTCACTGTTAGGAGGTTTCTCCTTAATTCCAGGTTGCTTCTGTTGCCATAATTTGAGGATCAGACTCAATAATATGCTCAGACTTCTTTTATTCAAACAGAAGATAGTTTATTTACAGATGTCATTCTTCATTCACAGAGTGATTTCAGGAAGAAGCTAAGAAGGAGAGATCTACTCTACCTTTTATACCAAGGAGGCGGAACTAAAGGTAGGGAGTGGTTTGGGGATGATATATTCAGAAAAGGGGAATGGATTAACCCTTGTCATCCCAAGACATACTTTTTCATCTGGTATGAGTGAGGCATTTATACATGACAGCTTCTCTCCTTGATCAGTTTCCCTCCATTGTTCCTTGTCTTGCCTTTCGATGCTTTGGAAAATAAGTTGACCCCCAGCCCCTAAAATACTGGAATACTGCTATCAAGTCACCCCTAATCAGTGATGGGTTGCCCACGGTTCGGACCGGTTCGCAAGAACCGGTAGTAAAACTGGCAGGAGGCCCCACCCACTGGCCCGGATGTCGTCATCGACGATCTATGCTTGCGATCCCATTGTGAATGGGTAGTAAAGGTAAGTAGAAACATCCGCCCCGCCCCTAATCCTTCTTTTCTCTAGACTAGCCCTACACAGTTCTTGCAACCATTCTTCGTATGTTTTAATCTTTATCTAAGTAT